CCGGCACCTAATTTTCTAAAAATAAATGTGTCCGGCAGGTCCCCTACTTGACCGATCAAGTGGTAGCCTACAACATTCACAAAAGACTGTCTACGTAGTTTAGTCTTGTCATGATTAGTTCACTTACAGAAGTTTGCATAGAACTGGCTATGGTAGTATACAACAGTCCTAATACTAAACTGTCTGTGAGGTATTAGCAGTCTGTCAACCAACTAATCAAGAACAAACCAACTAATCAAGAACAAAACCAGACTATGTTGCAGATGTATGAACAGTGGGTATAGTTGTGTTTACAGTTGAGCATCAATTAGAACCTACCCTCCCCTCAATCCAACATACCGAAAAGCATCTTTGAGCAGCAGTGTCTTCGTGTGTAATGTTGGCCCACCCCTGTGCCCCAAGTCATTGCCGAGCAAGCCAGCCCATCCACTCTTCTTTACCCTCGTACGGGATGAGCCTTACTACCCGGATTGATCTGGCTGATCAGGAGGGATTTAAGGAGAGCCCCCATCTCCTCAGGAATTATTTAACATCGCAGACAGGACGACGATCACAGCCAGTATCAACGGAGTCCCCAACCAGAAGTATTTATAGACGGTCTGGTAAGCTTTTCTTATGGGCTGGCACACCCGGCACGACTTCTACAGCGCAGCAAAGTGCCAAAATGGACAAGCAGCCATCGCATGCGTGACCTACTCCCATTGGGTTGGCATGGTGACCGTGACCCAGTGCTTCGACCAGGGCCCTTCAGAGGCACCGCCCTTTCTCCGTCCAGATGCTTCCGGGAAGATTGTCGTCTCTCAAGGTAGCGCGCACACGACAACTCACCAAAAGAGAGGACTCTCAAGTTGGACTCACTTCCTTGCGGTAAGAAGAGATTGAGAGAGTAGATAAGGTAAGGGAACAACGTACCTGGAGATAGCTCCCCCCAACCACAGATTTCTCACCAATTGAGTTGAGTGTGCATTTGATGACCGGTCGTAGCCTCGGTACGACCCACAACGCAATGCAGTGCCACCTCAGCTTAATGCCACATCAGCATGCTCTCATCACCAATCATACATTCCGCTGTAACCACGGCAACCCATGCCGTATAGCCTTCTGGCGCACACCTCTCTACCCAGGTCGTGCACCTAATGTTGGCCTGATGTCACAAGAACCAACTGTGAAGAAGCATCATCAACGCACCAAGTCTGTATAACGCCAGCGCACCAAGGTAAGTGGCGAATCGAACCAGCTCTGATACCAAAATGCAAGGAACATGAATGTGGACGAAGCACAGAAATCCAGATTGCAAAATCACACTGAAGTCCAAGTAGTCAAAGCAAGAGCAGATAGCACAATGGAACCGAGTAACCATCCATTTGAGAACGATACAGAAGAATCGTGAGTCAATGGCCAAGCCCAATCGGGCAACACCAACAGCATAACCCAATGTAGCTCTCTGTCTTGAATGGCGCCAGGCGCCCTACCTACTCTACAGCCTATCACTACAACTACAGCATGGAAGCAACCAGACAACTTGACTACCAGCGAGTGATGATGTCAACGCCAATGCCGACCTCCTCCCTCCACCTCTGCGCCCACAGGCAGCCCGGCTATGGCTGCCAGCGCCCTGCGCTCAGGCAGCGCTCTACCGCTTAGCGCTAGCCTGCCTCCCTCAGCCACAGCGCAAGTGCAGCGCTACAATGCAGCAGCGTGCCCGCAATGCCTGCATTGGCCAAGATCCCCTGCCCACTCGCCGTCCCTGCCTACATGCCAGTGTTGCGTGTGGGCGTCCTCCCTTGAGCCTGCGCCTGGGCCCCAGTACCTGTACCCAGGCCCAATGCGGTTGGGGCCCAGGAGATGCAGTTGCGCCTCTTTCATCAAGGCC